AAATAAATAAATAAATAAATAAATAAATTTATCAGGATTGAGTTGGACTCTAAGTTAAACTTACGCTTTCATTATTTGGGGAAGGTTGGATACTTCTGATTCCAAGTTAGTATGGGAGTCTCCCTATGCATGTGCTGGGCTGTGTCTGTTAGTCACGGGTCACGACAGTTTGTTTTTAGTTTGTTTAGAGATGGCATCTTCTTAGTGATGCCAGTGATGATTGCTGGAGTGTAGAAGTGTCATGGACTGTGGTCACTGCACCGCAAACCTCACCTTGTGTTCAATCTTAGCCCGCAGTTCTTCTGTTGAATTGTGATTTTTTTGTAAGCTGACAGTTGTTACTGTCTTCTTTTCTAGTAACTTGGGGTGTGTGCATCTGAGTTTGCTGGCGAGCTTGCGCCATAGGGCTCCTTTTCTGTGGCCTCTTAGAGAATTACAGAGGTTTGCCGGCTTTCTGAGACTAGCTTTCCCCAGCTGTCGATAAGCTCGTGGACTCTTTCCTTCCCTGCCGGTGAGCTGGGCGTGGACCTCACCGCACATCCTCCCCCAGCACGGCTGGTGCTCCACCCTGACCTTCTGCCTTACTTAAATGGGCCGCATTTGGGCGAACGTCCAGCATTCAGAAGGTGTAGGAGGCACAGGACCTCCATGTTCTGCCCGAGGGGAGAAGCCTTGCATTTACTAGAGTGTGGGGTATCATGTTTGTTAAACATATTTAGAATCTTAAAGCTATTGTAGAATCTCTATAGAATCCAAAAAAGTTTCTTCATAAGAATATGATACTTTTGGCTTATTATTAGGTAGCACATTATAGCAGAATAATGTACTATGAGTGGGTATACTATGCAGAATTACAAATTAAGCTTAATACAAACTTTAATTATGCAATTTCATATCAGGAAGAAGGGACTCTAGAACGAGTGAAAATAGTCTTTCCCCTGAAAAAGAACGTAACTCTTCCTACAGTAAAGCTAAGAAGGAGCATGCCGTGAAACAGCTCGGTGAGGCGATGCAAGCCCCAGTGGAGGCTGCGAATGTCGGGGAGTCGGAACCTTTGCTTCCCTTTGACCACCGAGCTGGTGGAGCCCTGTGGGTGGAGCCCTGCTGGACACGGGGCCTGGGCCCAGAGCGGAGCAGGGGCAGAAGGGCACGTAAGCCCTGCCCGCTGAGCTCTGGGGCCACCCCAGCCACCTGCCCATTTCCTCCAAGTCAGTCACGGGCTGGGATTGTCCCCTTGAGTCTTCCTTTATTTGTTCTGCAGATATTTATGGCGTACCCGCCCTTCTGGGGCACATAATGTGGAGGGACAAGTCAGATAATCAGGAGACCACAGGGTGTACACTTTCATGTTAGCGATGAGTCTTCTGATGGAAAACGTAGCCGAGAGGGGTGGGCATGTAGGGGTGGGTGCACAGGCAGAGAGGCTCTGAGGAGGGGACGTCTGGACAGGGAGTTGACTCGGGTGAAGGAGGACATGCAGGTGTCCAGGAATGGGCAGAGGCCCTGAGCTGGGGACAGGCTTGCCTGTTTGAGTGGCAGGAGGCCCAGCAGTGAGGCTGGGCGGGGTGGGGGTGGGGGGGGGACACGACACGAAGAGATAGAAGAGGCTGCATGAATAGGCAGGCCCGAGGTGTTGGGCCACGGAGGCCGAGAGTTTTGTAGTGAGTGTGAGCAGAAGTCCTTGGAGGACAGTAAGCAGGACAGAGGCGTGATTTGACAGGTGTTAGAATCATCCCCTGTTCAGAGTGGAGAGAGGCAAGTACAGAGGCTGGACAGCAGTTCGTGTCCAGGTGAGACTGACGGCCGGGACCCGAGTGTCACTGGTTGAGGACGTGTTTGATGGAAGGGATGACAGAGTGGCTGGGTGACTGGGTGGCCCTTGTTAGGAGAGGGCACAGCGAAAAGATCCGTGGAGGGGTCTGGGCAGCCACGTGGTGCTGTTGCTGGAGTGCAAAGGCTTTGGGAAAAGCCAGTTGCTGGGATGGGGGACAACGCCACGCATTCTGTTTCCCACAGGTGGGATTTGAGGTGCCTGCAGTGCAGCCCAGTAGTGTGTCAGGACAAGAGCGGAGCCATTTGGGGAGGGAGTTGGGGCGACTGAAGGTGAAATCAAAGAAGTTGGGGTTTTTTACATGGTGGTCTTTCCTGCCGTCATATGAAGATCCATGTGAAATTAGTGTAGGGGAGTGTGGAGATAAAGATGGTGAACCCCAGAGCCGGCCAGGACCCACGGCGTCCTGCTCGGAGAGCACTGGGAGGGAGGAGTGGCGGTGGGGGGACCTCCTGTGACCCCGGAGGGGACGAGGTAGTGTGAGCCTGGTGTAAACCCCTGTTTGTCCCGACCAGAGCACCCGCATATAAAAACTTCTACAATGTTTTAATCTGTCGTTAACCATTTTACGTTAGGAAGAAAGGAAGATACTATTTCAGCTAAAATGTTAGATCCCGTAGTGTCTGGATTAAATCATGAAGCAGATCAGGAAACTGCCACTTCAGAAATCGGTAAGAAAAAGGTATTCTTTAGTTTACATTCCTCACCACCTTGATATGAAATATTTACCTCTCAGCATAGTTACATATTTTATTCTTCTAACCAAGAGAAAGTGAATATCAGAAATCACTTATATGCCACTTGCTTTAACTTCCTGAATTATATGATAAAGAATATTAACTCAGTTTTAGTTAACTTTTACATGCTTTTCTATATGTAACTTACTTTTGCATCTAGATCAAGATGCTTTCTTTATCTTGCTGTTGGAATTTTACAAAATGATGTGGGTGGTCAGAAATGGTCGTTCAGCTCTCCCATCCTGCTTTGCTGTGTTGTGTTGAGAAAATGCCCCATAATAAAGATTTTAAGGTGCTTGCCAGGGCGCACTGGGGAGGTTGTTCCCTGGGGCTTTGCCCTCTTCTGTTGCGGTGTGCGCATGCATCCTTGCCTGCTGGGGTGGAGCAATGAGACCTGTGAATTGGGAATTTCAATGGGGTAATCCTGGGTGAAGATCAGTATTTGCTGTCTGTGATGTTAAACTAAATTCTTCAGAAATATTAAAAATCTTGAGTGACATTTAGGGGAAAATATAGTGTAAATCTTCGCTCCAGGAAAAGACAAAAATTTGTCTAGTCTAGGCTGAACTTGTATCGCTTTGATTTTTGAAAATTCTGCGCCTGTAGCTAGAATAATGGTAAGTGCGTCTTTGAATGCGAGCGAGCGCTTTGCCTTTAAGAAGTTGAGCTCGAGAGCAGGTGTGTTTGCAGGCAGCTGCTGCATCCTTGGCTCAGCAGGGGCGCAGCGTAAAAGGGGTCCTCTTAGAAGGCGGTCTTGACTGATCTTACTCCAAGCAGGTCCGCCTTCCGTGGTTTATCTAGTTCCTCAGCGGTGTGGGGTGACCGACTGGGAGGTGCTGAAGGGGAGCGGGATGGGTTCTCCCTGAGGAAGCCTCACCGCGGGCTCGCAGGGTGCGGTTTACCTGCATCCTGTGAGAGTGTACGTGTTCCCTCCCTGCGGGAGTCTCTCCCGGCTGTGGGCCGGTCCAGCCTGGTCGGAGCAGGGAAGCACCGGGCAGTCCCTGTGCGGCAGGAGAGGGCCTGGGTGGTGGTGCCCCTGTGGGCAGATCTGCCTTATCCCAGACCAGCGGGAAGATCCGTTCCTCCCGTTGCCCGCCTCTTGGCCTTGAGCTAGCTTCATGGGTACGTTCTCTGAGCCACAGTGACCTCGTGGTAGGTGGGTCTAGAAACACCTGCCTCGAGACTCCGGGAGATGTCTCCATACAGTGGCTGGTGTGTCCCAGGTGTGCCCACGGATCTGCTTTGTAGATCCCACTTTAGTGACCACGAGCCCTACGTCAGGTGAGGCGTGTCATGCTGAGATGGTATCATGGATTTAAAATAAAGTGCACTGGTTATTCAGACATGTATCCTCACTTTGTAGACACTAGGTACACCTCCGTGTCCAGGGAGCGGGAGCCCTGCAACACCCGTGGTTCCCGGTGGAGAGCTTGGCGGACATTCGAGCGGAGCCTGGCGCCACCTAGTGGCCAGAGAGGGGTCCTGCACCCCGGCCCCGGCTGGTCCTGGGACCCCTGGCGCCCCCTCCCCTCCCCCGCCCCTGTCTTCACTGTGCTGCCAGCCATTTGATTTCTGGGATTCGGGGTTTGTCAGCGGTTGTCACAGCTGCTGATTTTCTCGTCGAGTGTGATTTCCAGATGCAGGGCCTGGGTCGGTCAGGGAGCCTTTCCTCACACTTGCCCTTCACCTTGAGCTTGTAAGCCCCGCCCCCGCTGGGCCTGCAGACCTGGGCCAGCCTGCGCCTGATGGCGGCCGTGCGCTTTGTCTTTCAGGGATGCTGGAGAGCTCAGCAAGGAAATTACCCACTGCTTTCTCAGACACGAACCATTTCTTCCCTGCCCCCTCGGAATGCCCGCTGTGTGATGAGCCTCGTTCTCTTTACAGTCGTTTGACGGTCCGGGTTCTCCTGGAACCCTGTGCCTCCATGTGTCTTCACCTTGCTTGGGTCCCGTCACTCATGTCTGTTTTATCGTGTAAAGTTTTTTATTACGAAAAATGCAGAGAAGTAGGAAGAGTGATGAGCACCCTTCGACCTCTCACACAGATTCAGTGGTTCTAATGTCTCGTCATATGTGCTTCATCTAGAGCCATGTATTTTTATGAATGATTTCAAAGTGTATCAAAACACCCTAACACTTTAAATACTTCAGCCTGCAGCTCAAAAAACAAAAAAGACCTGCTCAGACACAGCCACAACATTATTGTTGTCTCTAGCAGGATGACTGTTCCCCAATAGTACCGAAATCTTAGTGACTCAAAAGTGTTATTTTTCAAAAAAAAAAAACAGGATTCCATTAAGATGAACACACTGTATATTTTTTATTCTATTTGTCTTTTTAAATGACTCGAATCTCAACAGCCCCCCCACCCTCTGTGCGCCCCCACCTTGCCCTTTTAGTCTCGCACACTGGCTTTGGAAGAGATGAGGTTGCTTGTCTTGTAGAATGTTCCACTCTCTGGACACGTCCATTTCCTTGTGATGTCGCTTCACTTATGACATTGCTCTCCCCCCCCGCTTCTCCCCATGTTTCTGTTTGATCTAAAGTCCTCATTAGATTTGGGTTGGAACATCTGGCTTCGCTCTGACCCCTACATAGGCAACACTGTGCCTTTATCTTGTGTCCTATCTGGATACACTAGTGTTTCTGCGTCCCATAACAGGGTGCTGGGACTGATCGCTGGGCCAGGTGGAGCCCCTCACTTTAAGGCCTGGTTATTTGTTCGCATTTACACTTGGATGTAGTTAGCAGCTCTGTGCTGCTAAAATTTGCACAGCTCACGGGCACAGTGGGAAGCTGCTTGGGGCTGTGTTGTGGGCTGTACCTGGTGAGTCTCAGGGATGGTAACTGACAGATGGGCGCTTGGCCAGGCACAGCGCTCCCTGCTTTGTGAAGCACAGGATCTCTTTACGAGAGCACCGTAAGCTGGGGCAAACTGGCTCGGAAGAGGCGAGGAGCCTGCTCAAGGTGCAGCCTTGGGGCACTGGAACTTAGGAAATCAGGACGCCAAGGCCCACATCCTTACCTGCCAGGTTCATTCATTACTGATAATTCAGACAACAGATTTTTTTGCCAGTTCATAATAATTTTTATATTTTATGGGTGTATTATTTATTTTCTTTAAAGCTGTTATTTGGCAGACTGGTTAGTCTGTCCTCTATGATTAAGAATTGATTGTATATTATTAAAGTTATTATTATAGTATGTATTATTACTAGTATTATTGGTTGTAGCTTGTTTTTCTGTTGTGTTTGTGTATCAGAGTTTTAGTAAAGTTTAAAAATATTAGGAAAGATGTTACAACAACCATCATAGGCCTCTCAAAAAAAAAAAAAAAGAATGCCACTAGACATTTGAAGAGAGGAAATGGGGCAGAGTGTCATCAGTCCCCTCCAGCTCTGGACAGAAGTTGTTGCATTTGGAAGTTACTTATTGCGCTGGTAGGTTTTGAACAGTGTAGGAAAATTTTGACATTTTCAAATAAAATGTAACAATCTGAAATTCTTGCATGTTTTCTTTAAAAATAGATAATCTACAATTGCCAAGCTTATTTTATTTTTACATTTGTTTTAGTATTTCATATTGATTCTTTGGCTACCTTAGATATCATAAATAATTACTTGAATCGGGCTGTTTAAATTATCATTTTTATAGATTGAAAAAAATTTCCTGGGGCGCCTGGGTGGCTCAGTCGTTAGCGTCTGCCTTTGGCTCAGGTCATGATCCCAGGGTCCTGGGATTGAGCCCCACGTCGGGCTCTCTGCTCTGTGGGGAACCTGCTTCTCCCTCTCCCACT